TTAGCCTCCCTGATTATCTGCTGCACCCATGTGCTAGCTTTCTGTGTTTCTTGTACAAGTATCCCCAAGACTCTGTGTGTCACAACTTTCTGCAGTATATCTCCATTTAAATAATATTCTGTTATTTTGTTCTTCCTTCCAAAATAAATAACTTCATTTGCCAACTTTTTGCCCACTTACTGAAACTATTAATTTCTCTCTGTAAGCTGTTGTATCCCTCTTACAATCTCCCTTTCCATCTATTTTAATGTCATCTACAAATTTAGCTACAAACCATTCCTTCTTTGAAGTCATTCATATATATTGTAAACAATTATGGTCCCGGAACCGATCCGTTTAGAAACCCACTGGTCGCAGTCACCAATCTGAAAACGAACCCTGATCCCGTGTTTTCTGTCCAATAACCAATTCTCTATCCATGCCAGTATACTACCTCCAACACCATTGGGTCTTATCTTATGACTTAACCTTTAATGAGGTACCTTGTTGAATGCCTTCTGGAAGTCTAAATGCAACACATCTACTGGCTTCCTTCTCTCCAATCTGGTTGAGACTGCGTTGAAAACACTAATAAGTTAGCCAGACGTGATTTCCTTTTCATGAAGCCATGCTGACTCTGCTTGATTAGATTATGATGTTCCAAATGTTCTGCTATGACTTCCTTTGTAGTTGATTCCAATACTTTTCCACAATAGAAACAAAGCTAACTGGTCGATGGTTACCTACCTTTTGGCTCCCTCCTATTTTGAAGAGGGGTGTCACATTTTCCTAGTACTCTGGTACTTCTCCAGAATCCAGATTTTTTTGGAAAATTACAAACAGTGCATCCATTATCTCTGTAGCTATCTCATTTAGGATCTTAGAATGCAAGCCATCAGGGCCAAGGGACGTATCTACCTTTAGTTGTATTAGTTTATCTAAAAATACTTCTTTAGTGATGGTGATGGTAATGGTACTTCATTCTTCCTCCTTATTCATTCATATTATGGAGTATTTGAAATATCTTCTGCCATAAAACGGAAGCACTCCTCCTCTGGTGAGAGCAATGTTTGAATTTAAAAACAGTGGTGATATGCCAATTATACAAGTATCAGATCGTATTTAGTTCACTATCAGAAACAGGTCAGCAAGATTCGTTAACAAATAGTATCTAGTTTATTACAAACAAAACATACTCAAGCAAAGATGCAAAGATTATTAAGAAAAGGTTGAGACTGTCCAAATATATATAAATACTTAAAACAACCCTTCTTGAAAACTAACACACAATCCTAAAGTTTGAGAAAAGTGTATAAAATTTTTAAAAATGTTTTCTCAGAAGTACTTTGGCCAATTGACAGTTAAACTCAGGAGAAAAGGATTATTACAGATTATCCCAAATGTTAATCTGCACCCAAAGTCACTTTGTACAAACAAACAGTGAGCACTTTCCAGGATTGGTTGTCACTTGCTGTAATCTCTTCTGGAGACAGTAAGCTAAATTCTGAAATCTTCCCAAACCCACCATGAATAGTGATGAGGCTTTCCAACAGATTTTCAACTTATGCTTTGATGAGAGGAGTTTCAGAGAAACATAGAGAGTGCAAAGGTCTGTTTCTCCTCAGACGAGTCTGACTGTCTATTTTCATAACTTCAGTAGCTTTATTGCATCCACAAAGTGGGTTGTTTAACTGCTATGTAAAAGTATTGTATTGTAGATAGGATGAATGCATATAGTCTTTTTCCCAGGGATGGGGAATTGAAAATTAGAGGGCATAGGTTTAAGGTGAGAGGGGAAAGATTTAAGAAGGACCTGAGGGGCAGGTCCTTTTTCATGCAGAGAGTGGTGTGTATATGGAATGGACTCCCAGAGAAGGTGGTTGCGGCAGGTACAATAGCAACGTTTAAAAAAGGTTTGGATAGGTACATGGATGAGAAGGGTTTAGAGGGATATGGACCAAATGCAGGCAATTGGAACTAGCTGAGTGGGCACCATGGTCAGCATGGACCAGTTTGGGTCGAAGAGCCTGTTTCCATGTTGTGTTACTCTGGCTCTGACTGACAATGTTCCTTGCAAATACAGTATTATTTCTGTTGTAGGCAGGACATCGGATGCATGGAAATATCAGCACCTGCAAATTTCCTTCCAAGCAACACATCATCCTGATCTAGAATAATATCACCCTTCCATTGCTATCATTAGATTGGCACCTTGGAACTTATTCACTAATGGCACTGTGTGTGTACCTGCCATCACCACCGCTCCCCATCCCTTTCCTGCCTCCAAGTACTTCAACGGTTCAAGAAGGCAGCTCATCACTCTCAAGCTCACAACCCTTGAATGAAAAACAATTTATCTAATTTACACTATAATTATGATAACGCCTCAATACCTCTGCAGAATCTGAGCTATTAATGCAACATTTACCATTCAGCAAATAATTATAAAACTATGACAAAAAATTCCTAAACTTAATTTATCCCTTTGCAGCAAAAAATGTTCTAAGTGTTGGGTTTCTGTGGTTACATTTAAATTCGTGCCATAAATACAATGTTGACAATGTATTGAAACTACTTCATTTTAGTAAATACTAATGTCATTACCAAGTGAACTAGTATTAATTTGCCTTATGATATGACAATGGAATATTGACATAAAAATGAATAATAAGATACATTAGAATAAATGACTGAAGAGAAAAAAGGCCTTTCAAAAAAATAACTTACAAATAAAAGAATTCTGATGGGTTCTTATACTACTGTATAGTGACACCAAGAATGTTGGGTTTTGGTACAGATCTCTCTCTAATGGGCTTGTGTCTGCAACTGGCTTATTCAATAAGATGTTCTAGCACTTTTCATTTAAAAGGGAGCTGTATCAACGTGTGCTAGTGTACTGTATTTTCTGTAAAAATTTGCTAGATGGAAGGAAAAAGTCACCTGCCTACTTATTCAGTACTGAAAGAGTGCGTAGCAAGGGAAAAAAAAATTAACTTGAACAATTATGGCTATTGAGGTGGATCTGTTATGATGAAATATTGACTAGAATTTATTTTTTCCATATCAGTGAGGACAATGTGAATAGATTTCTTGTTTTTTTGCTGTTGAAATCATATCTAGCACTATATCAATGCAAGTTGTTATTTTGTAAACACTGATAGAAATATTGGTTGGAAATTTTCACTGAAAATGTATAGAGCTGTTTGTTCCACTTCAGCTCTAATAGAAGGTAAATGAGGTCAAATTGCAAAGTGTAGTGGTACTAGAAAACTCATTTCATCAGAACTAAGTACTCTAAGAATGCATAAGTTTTCAAATAACATTGCTCATTTGACTCTACAATTACTATTACTGTGTCATTATAGAGGCTATGCCAGAGAGGCAAACATTTGGTGTACACTACCAACAACGTGCAAGTATATCATGCTTCCAACTCAGAAACAGCCCAAAGGATCTTACAGATCTGAGAATGAATGAGCTGTCAAATGAAAGAGAAAACACGTTGAGTGGAGTTAGGGAAAGGAACATTTGAAAATAAATATCTTCAGTTACCTTTTGAAAACAGGGAAAGAAGGGATGAAGAGAAGAAACTCTAGGAAAGAGTTTCAGCATCAAGGTGATAGTAGCTGAAAGAAAGACTGGAAAAGTTGGAAGGAGGCGGAAGGAGAATGAGAAGTATACTGGTCCAGGTGAGTCTGCAATATAACATTTTGTTAAGCAAAAGAAAAAGGTCATATATTACTTGGAAAGTAGGAATCTAAATGGGCTGATCAAAGGAATGTGAAATGCATAATCACTAAAAGTAGTGATGCACACCAATAAAGTGGTTCGAAAGCAATCACAGGCTTCATGGCCATTTGTTGAAGAATATAATTTTTAAGTAGAGAAATTGTGTTTAAATGGCAACGAATCTCAGTTAGACTATATTGTGTCCAACTCTGGTTATTGTATTATATAAAAGAGAGATAGAGAGGCGCTAGAAAGTATGCAACAATGATTAACAAGTATGGTACCCAAACTAGGATCCATCAGAAAGGATGAACAGGCTGGATCTCTTTGTCTCTTGAAAAGGTTGACAGGTAGACAAGAAAGATTTTCTTGTGGAAGGAGAGTAAAAATCTAATCATCATCAGTATAAGACAGTCACCAAGAAATCAGACAGAAAATCTGAAGAAACTTTGATATGACCAAGTCTGGAGGGGTAAGTAAATTCCTCTCTTTGTCTCCTGGTATTCGTAATACAGAGTTTGAACTTTTAACAAAGGTGTGTTAGTTTTCAATTCTTCCAGCAATATCTGTAGTCAAGCAGTCTTGTCTCCAAAACCATTTGAAGGTCTCATTGTGAGCTATATGTACCAGGTGATGAGTTTTAATATCCAGGTTTGAATTGACCTATCTGGGTCTGGGAGACACTTCCAGGCATTTTCATTCCTCTGCATATCCCTATGAGTTTGATTACTTTCAGGCCTGGTATTTTAACGGCAATGTTAAAAATGACCTAAAGATTCCAAGATAAACTCACTAGAAAATGTTAAGCCTTGTTCAATCAATTATAAGTGCATTTTCAATTGTGCTGTAAGTTACAACTACTGCCAAATAAACTCTCTGGCACTGAAAACCACCTTTTACGAGAATAGAATCTCATTTGTTGAGACTTGAAAAAGGATTCTTCATTCATGTCTTTTTTCAAATTCAATTTTCTGTATCTTTTTGTATCTGATCTGATATTATACAATCTAACTGCACCCCTGCCTCAGTCTGTGTGCTGTTTATTAACAATATTTCAGACTGATTGCTTTCTTGTCCTGTTCCCACAAGTCTCTTATGTAAAGACAGGGAGCTCATTTGACTCTACAATTACTATAAGATTGAATGCCACATTTCATGGAGACTCTATGGCTATCAGTAACTGAGGGAACTATCCTGTCTGCTGCTCCAAACATGAAAACAAATTATTTTGTATCAGCATGACCTTTGGATTCAATAGAAATGTTCGGTGAACCTACCAATTCTCAACTGGTTTACAAGGTTGTCTCCTTCCTAATGATCATTTTGTCTGTAGTTAAAATCCTTTGAGGAATTCTACAATTAGTTGATTTAGATGAAATGAATGGCAGATGTAGCTTGTTCTTGAATATTTTCACTTTAGCTACCATGTCATCTCTGGCTACAATATAAACCAGAGGGTCAATGCAGCTGTTTAAACTGGCCAGACCTCTGGCAATCTGGTAAAGCAAATAAACGGCGCCGGTATTCCGCGCACAAAGACCTTTCAATTGAAAATATCTGGAACTTAAATTAACATAACGCAAAACATGATAAGGTGTAAAACAGATGGAAAATAAAACCATTATAACGATCGCAAGGTTCCTGGATCGTTCCTTCAAAGTGTTGTCCAGATTGTTATTTCTGCTGAGAACTACAGCGATTTGACAGTAACATGCTATAATGGTGAGGAGAGGGATGCAAAATCCAGTGACAGTAATAATCTGCACGTACAGGAGGTAGTCTGTGAGTTCCTCGTTCACGGTAGTGTCGTAACATTTGGTGCCATTGAGGTTCGTCTTGGTGAAATGTAGATCGGCTGAGGTTTGGGTTAGAACCAGCCCCCAGACCAGGAGGCTGATGAGCAGCGAGTGGCGGCGATTCCATCTGCCCAACACTTTCATGGGGTGCACTATGCCCAGGTACCGCTGCACACTGATACAGGTGAGGAATCCGATGCTGCCATACAAGTTCAGGTGGAACAGGAGCCTCGTTATTCTGCAAAACGCTTTCCCAAACATCCAATGGCTTTCGGTGGCATAGTACACCACCAGGAAGGGCAAGCTAATGACATACAGGAGATCAGCCAGGCCCAGATTAAACACGAACATGTCCAAGCTAGTCCATTTTCTCCATTTCAAGCACAAAGAGATCAACACCGAGCAATTCGCGGAGAATCCCACCGCAAACGCAATGATGTAAATTACTGGGATAAACTTACTCTGAAAGTTCTTGTTGATTTCACAGAGGGCAGTTTGGTTCAATTGTTTGGAATCTGATGTTGACAGCACGGCAAACGAAGTGCTTGCTTCCGACATTATGAACAGAAGAGTGTTCTGGATCTAAAAAAGACACCCGCGACTTTGCGACTTGCTGGTGATGCTCAATTGTCCCATTAATCAAAAGTGAGATGGAGTACACAGGAACAATCGGACACAGCCCAGCTTTCGAAATTAATTCTGATGTTCGATAAGGCAAGCAATTGAACGCGAAAATTTACTGGCTTCGACATCCAAAGACCAAACCACGCCCCCTTGAAGCAATAATTCTAAAATCAGCCAATGTAAACTCTTGCTCCAGCCATATACAATTTGTGAAAGGCAGGTTCATGATTCTTATTCATAACTGTGACAGTGTGTTTATACAAACAGTTTTATTTTATAGTGACAGAGTAAAGTCATATCAGCTAAAAAGGCAGACCCAACAAATATATTTAGTGTTTTTAAGGTTTGAACCATAACACCATAATACGTTACCGAGGAAAGTTAAAAAACAAAATTAAACACTGAGCAACTTAATGCCTTTTGGGCAGGTGGCCAAATACCTTTCTAAAGAAATCGATTTTAAGGATTGGTTTAGAGGAAAAACGAGATGTCAAAAGGCGGAGCAGTTTAGAAGGAATTACAGAATTTACTTATGAGTTGATCAAGGAACTAGATGAGTGCTGATATTTCAGAGGTCTGTGGGGTTACAGGAGATTATAGAGAAAGGGAAATCAGAGAGGCATTTGAGAGTAATGGTGAGAATATTAAAATCAAGGAATTGCTTGACATGGAACTAATACAAGTCAACGAACACAGGGATTGATGGGAGAATGGGATGTGGTGTTTGTAAGAATACAGGCAACAAGGCTGAGGATGACCTGGAGAATGTGGAGTGCAGAATGTCAGATACAGCCAGGAATGAGTTGGAAGAGTCAATAGGCAGGTGTTATACCTTCTGTGATTGCCATTTCTGCTACCTCCAACAGGATGTCACCACCAGACACACATTCAATTCTCCTACCTTGTAAGCCTTCCACAGGGACTGTTTCCACTGGGACAACCTGGGCTACTCCTTCTCCACTCCTAAACACTTCCCCACATCCCCATGGCACCTTCCTATATAAAAGGTGCAACACTTACCTGTTTACCTCCTCCTTCCTCACTGTCCAAGGCTCCAGATATACTTTCCAGGTGAAGCAGCGATTTACCTGCCCTTCACTCAATCAAGTGTTCACTATTCACAATGTGGTCTCATCTATATTGGTCAACCACTTTGCAGAACACCTATGTACTGTCTGTAGAAATGACCCTGACCTTTTAGTTGCCTGCCACTTCACCATGTCATTGTCTTCCCTGGCCAACTTCTCTGTTCAGGGTTTGTTGCAATGCTCCAGTGAAACTCAATGCAAATTGGAAGAACAGCACTTAATTTTCTGCTTAGAAACTCTGCAGCTTTCAGGACTCAACATCAAGTTCAATAATTTTAGGGCGTGAGGATTTCTTCCATGACCTTCCCCAACCTCTACACTCCAGGCCTTGTCATTGCATAACCATCCCACTGTCAACTACTAATGGTCCCCATTAGCAGCTATTGACTCTCTCAGGCTGACCATTACCCATTTCTTTGTCTGCCTATTTGCAATTCTCTCTCTCTGGGCTCCATCTCCACCTATCATTTACTCTTACCCCTCACTTCACCCCTTTCCCACCCTATCTTCAGCATATATGCCAATCCTTTCCTAACTACAACCAATTCCAAAGAAGGGTCACTGGAACCAAAACATTAACTCTGATTTCTCTGCACAGATGCTACTGAGTTTCTGTTTCAGATTTCCAGCATCTGCAGTTCCTTGCTTTTTTTTGGCCATTTGCTTAACCTGTCCACATCATTCTGTAGATTCTTTGTGTCATCGTCACCACTTGCCTTCTCACCTTGTTTTTTTGGTCATCTACAAACTTGGCTATAGTACATTCACTTTACTCATCCAGGTCATTAATTTATATAGTAAATAATTGTGGCCCCAGCACTGATTGCTGTGGAACTCCATTTGTTACAGATTGCCATCATGAAATGTCCCCCCTTATCCTAACTTTCTGTCTTCTATTAGTTAGTCAATCCTTTATCCAAGCTTATATACTACCTGTAACACCACAGGCTCTTACCCTATTAAGTAGCATAATGTATGTTACCTTATCAGATGCCTTCTGAAAATCCAAATTACTACATTCACTGCTTCTCCTTTATGATAATAAAACAATGAAGGGTCGTTGGACCCGAAGCATTGACTAGGCTTTCTTTCTATAGATGCTGCCAGACCTGCTGATTTTCTCCAGAAATTTGTTTTTGCTTCTCCTTTATATCCTGCTTGTTACTGTCTCGAACAATTCTAGTAAATTTGTCAGGAATGATTTCTCCTTCATGAAGCATGCTGACTCTGCTGGATCATATTATGTATTTTTAAATGCTCTGCTGTTACATCCTTTATAATAGGTCCTAAGATTTTCCCAATAACCAATATTAAGTTAACTGGCCTATAGTTATTTATTTTCCATCTTCTTTCCTTTTTAAATAAAGATGTTTTGGCAGCTTTCTGATCCTCTGGGACTTTTCCAGATTCTAAGGATTCCTCGAAGATTACTACCAGTGCATCCATATTTTTATAGTTACTTCTTTTAATATTCTAGGATGCATCCCATCAGGTCTAGGACACTTATCAGTCTTTAGCCCTATTAGTTTTCCTCACAGTTTTTCTCTGGTGATATTTATTGTATTTATTTTCTCTCCTTTTGGCCCTTGATTAATTAGTAATTTTGGAACACTATTCATGTTTTCCATTGTGAAAGCTGATGAAAAGTTTGCATTCAACTCCTCTGCCATTTTTTTGGTTTCCCCATTATTATTTTCCAGCCTCGTTCTTATAAGGTCTATGTTCACTTTGGCTTTCTCTTCCTTTTTGTCTATTTAAAGGAAGTCTTGCTCCCCATCTTGATATTACTTGCTGCTTTACTCTCAAAGGTTATTTCCTTCCTGTTTATTATTTTTGATTGTCGTTTGTTGGATTTTAAAACTTTCCCAATCATCTAGTTTACCACTAACCTTTATCACATTGTATGAATCCTTTCTTTAAATTTAATGCTCTCCTTATCCATGGTTAGCAATTTTTGGCTTATCCTCTTCCTAAAATCCTTCTTCCTCACTGGATTATGTCATAACTGTGAGCCATGAGCTATTTTTTGAAACATCCGCCATTGTTCCTCAATAGCATTTGTTGCTAAACTTTCTCAGTCGACTCCAGCTGGCTCTTGTTGGATAAGCAGTCTGATAATTCAACAATAGCGGAATAATCCAGAGCAGTGGTGAGACAATGCTGAATGTTATCAGTGTATATGGTAAGCTTTTGAATTTGTGTCATTGGGGGAGCTTGTTGATGAAAATTAGAAGAGGGCAAGGGATCCTTGGGGAAACATCTGACAAGATGATGAGATAGTGGGAAGAGATGCCATTGTGATTGTTACTCTGTCTATGAGCAGATAGATAAGGAAGGAGCCTGGTAAGGACAGTTCCCCCAGTCAGCTGCCAGGAGAGGCATTGGAGGAAGATATGTAGTCATGAGAGATGATGTGGATAGCTTACAATATCACTGAAATCATAGAAATGTGCAACACAGAAAGAGGTTATTTGGCATTTTGTACTTTTTTTTGGTTTTCTTCCCAGTGTCATCATCCCCATTGCTGTCCTACCATCTCCAAATACACTTCTATAGACTGAAAAATGGTTGAATAAGTGATCTGACCATTGTGAGTACCTTTATGTTGCATCTGTAGATCTATATTGCAACATTCAGACCCACTGTTTTCATTTTCTCAAATGTTTGTGTTCAGAACATGAATCATTTCATCAATAGGAAAAAGGAAAAAGTGGCACTTGCCAGCAAAAGTTGAAAAAAAACAACTACAAGAGTTGAGATAGTAAGAACTGCCAATGCTGGAGTTAAAGATAACACAGTGTGGAGCTGGAGGAACACAGCAGGCCAGGCAGCATTAGAGGAGCAGGAAAGTTGACGTTTTGGGTCAGGACCCTTCTTCAGAAATGTAACTACAAGAGCTGGATGCACATAAAATAAGGCTTGCAGAACAGGAAGTTAAATTGGTACAGAAAAAAATGAAGAATTAACAAACCTTCACAGAATAAACGAAGGGCAGTGTGCAGTCGCAGATGGCGTTCTAACTCAGTTTGAGGGGGAAAAGGAAGGGAGAAAGTGAGAGAGAAACAGAGGGACAGGGTAAAATATATCAAAGGAATTTGATGGTGGGCAGGAGAGGTTGAATGTATTAAAAGCCAGTATGTAGAGGCATGTGAAAGCTTTGGATAAATCAAATGAGGATCTCAGTTGACAATGTCATTAATTGGAACAAAAAACAGCATTCTGAGTGCTGCAGAGAGAGAGAGAGAGGAACACTTAGATCAGCCAGTTTGCAAGTAGGAGTTGGCTCGAGTAAACACTAAACTTCAGCAACAGGTTGGAATGGTCTGTACACTACGAGCATATGGTCCCCATATTGGGGCATTGTGAACCTCTGAGGATACTGAAAGACAAATATGCCATATGACAGAGAGACCAATAAAAATAACGTATACCAACCACTTGTTGCAGGTTCACCAGAAGGGCATCAGTAATGCTGAGTCAGGTTGTGTATTGTCATATGCTCAAGAGCATTTACAGAGCATTGCTAGGAACATTAAGAAATTAGAAACAGAGCAAGGATTTTATGACACTTCCTAGAAATTTACCAACTTACAAGTACTAAATGACAATGAAAAGAACAAATTGTTTCTATTTACTTTAGCTCCAGGAGTTACTGGGCTTTAACTTGAGAGGCAAAAATAGAGGGGTCACATAGAAAGACATGAGAAATCAGGTAGCGAAGGCCATGGATTTGTCAAGGACAAATGCCTTCAGATTCTAGAACAAACTCAGCAGTGGCCAGATAACAGTCTGATTGCATTTGCAGGTAAATGTGGGCAGTTTATACCAGAACAAATATTGCGCTTAGTCCAAATCAAGGCAACTTACAGGGATCAGCCCTTAATTGCTGGGTCCAGACCTTAATTCCATACACCCTACCTTACTTAAAGAAGGAATCTGAGGATTTTGATCTGGGTCATTAGCTTACAACTGAGCAGACAATGGAGTGAAAAATAACTCCCCGAATGGAGAACTGGTTCCGAGAGAAAATGGTAAGTAGTTACATGGAGAGAGCTAAGGAGGAAAACTGGAAAGACCCCCGAAAGCAAAATGACAGCATGAGGTGTTTTAGTGCAGGTTTGCAGGACACATTTAAAAAGGTGCTAAACAACCATTAAGAAAGGGAAATGCAAAGTTTTGTCAGAAAAAGGAAACTCGGGGCAGAGTGTAAAAACCAGGACCTGGAAGAATATATAGCAGTGGCGGTTGATTCTGGTCTGTAGGTAAGGAAGGGATATTGTAACATCTTTGACTCGGTATCCCTAGTCTTTCTTGCCACCTTCACTGCCTCCCATTTGTCAATGACTGGACCACTCCGGGCTCAAATAATTGTGCCCTCTCATGTATGATTCTAATTGGCATTGTGTGCTTTTCAAGGTCAAGTTAGAGGGTAGAAACTATTTAGTGGATGCAGGAGCATCTCACAAGATTATTTGTGAAACAGTTTAACAATCCTTGGTTGTTGAGAGCCTTAGGCCTTGGAGGGAATTACTGGAGATGGTTTATAAAGGAAAGTGACTCTGGAATTGAAGGTGGGACCATGACAGCCTTACTGGGAGTATAAATTAACTAAACCATCATAAGTTGGTGTCAGCACATTTGGATTGGATTGGATGAAGGCCCACAATATTGTGTAGATCTTTGCAATCACTATTTAAGAAGAAGAATACAAGGGGAGAAAGTAATCTTAGTAATTCCCCAAGTAAAACATAAGCAGAAAGGGCAGGTAGCTGGTTTGTGATTTGTTGGTTCAGTTGGCTGGTTGGCTGGTTTACAATGCAGGATGATGCTAGCAATGTGAGTTCAATGCCTGTACTGGCTGAGGTGACCATGAAGGTTCTGCCTTCTCAACCTCACCCCTTCCCTCAGGCATGGTGACTTTCAGGTTAAACCACCACCAGTTGTCACTCTCTTATGGGAGAGCAGCCATATGGGACAATGGTGACCTTATAATTAGTTTGTAGTCAGTTTCAAGATTTAGTAGTGCAGAATTAAACAGCGTTTGACCGAGTTGAAGGGATGGAAGTTATAATTATCAGAGACTCCATGTCATGACCTCAAAGAAAGCACAATTTCCCATTGGAAGCAGAAATTTGGAATATTGTTTATACTTTGTAAAAGTAAAGCCACCATTGTCCTACCAGACAAAAGCCTTACTCTCTTATTAGAAGATGTTGGTGGTGGTTTAACCTAAAGGTCACTATGCCTCAGGCAAGGGAAAAGATTGAGAAGAAGATCCCTTCATGGTAACTTTAGTCAGTGCAGGAATTGAACCATGCTGTTGTCACTACTTTGCATCACAAACCAGCCATTGAGCTACATGAGCTAACCATATTAACCCTGATAACCCTTGAATTACATGCCAGGACAATGAATAGGTGGTGGTCAAGGATAATGGATAGTATTAACAGATGGATAGTATACAATTGAGAGCATTGGCAAGGATGGGCCAACAACATCATTCTTGTGAACTATGCAGATTTTGTTTAGTTTGTGAGAGATAATAATTCATGGCTTGTCAAGACATTTTGATTTGAGAAGCTCTGTATGGAAGATTTGAAAGATTTAAATGGAGTCGGAAATTCAGCTTGAAGGCAAACTGCTTGCAGAAAATTGCTTTTGCAATCCATGTTCTACCACTGAAAACTTTGGAAGGAAGAGACATTGACAGAGTGACTACTGGAGATCAACCCCTACGTAAAACTGTTCAGAGACTTGGTATTGTATGTGCCAATGATTGCGTTCCAACGTTTGTTATGGACCAAGCAATTAAAGGTTACTTAATCCATTTTGGATTGTGGGCAGAACAATTTAGAATTAATGTTATAATAGAATTGGATTTTTTCCTTCTAATATAGTCAACACAAAGTGCTTTACTTTCATTCAATACAATTATTTTATCACTTACATTATCATTTTAATTGTTTTATTATCATTTATTATTAGCATGATATTCAATAAAATATAGTTTTAGCATATTCCTAGCTATTGCCACTCATTTTTGTTACATTTAGAGTATACCTCCAAACTTAAATGAGATAATATAGGGTCTGTCATATTACTGTGTGAAGTTTTCTTTTGTCTTGGGTCATGTATTGTCATGACCATGGACCATAAATCTACATCGCCTTTGGAATGAAATTTAATTCCAACATGAGCTTTTTAAGAGGACTGATGCAGCCAAAATGGCTATGGATATGAATTTAAAGATTGTCTTGATGGAAAGGGAGCCTGGAATGTCGCACCTGACAGCCATCAAGTAAGCTTCAAAGGAATGGACTTAAAAGGCAGAGATGCGCTACAAACTGAACCCTTAACTCTTTGGCATTATCTTAGACTTTGAACATGATGAAAGAACATGATGAAAGAGAAACATGCCAGTCTGGGCAGGAGACATGTTTTGTGTCTTCCCCTTTCAAGAATATATAAGAACAGGGATGAAAAGCCAGCTCAACTCTGGTCCTTTTAATGGATGAAGGTTGCTCATGTATGCCAGTGGGCTGAGGTCCTTGTGTGTACTATTTAGGGTTCAAACACTAGTGTGCTTTGAATCTTACAGTAAAAGAACCACCTGTATGAACCTGTATTGAAGAGAAAGGATTCTATCACTCAAAATATAGAAGCCAGGTAGTGAATAAGCTATTCAAAAGGAAATTGAATAACTGACCTGCAAGGTCAAAGATCCTGAAATTGATTATTCGACTGCCAACATTTCACCACCTACTCTTATGAATGACACATGGACACCTATCTTTATACCTTTTAACTTTTACCTTTGTTTGGACTCATAGAATTTTTTAATCTGTGTGTATGTGTGTCACATTCTTATTTCTTCTCAGGTTTAGTAACTAGTGCACTTTTGTTAACTCAAGAAAGCCTGACTAAATTGGCTACCTTAAAAAAGCGTTTTCGGTTTATCCACAACAGAGGAATCCTTTGTAAATTAACCTTGTTGAGACCAAGGGCATGAGTAAATAAAGAAGGGGAGCCAGTTCACCTGTACTCATCGGGGGACTTGACAAGGTGGGGCATCCTGCCTGGAACTATAATAACTTGCTGAATCTCACCCATGGTTTGGCCTTATAAATAAAATTGTGGAGTAGATTTAAATCTAAATCTTTACTCGTACTACAATGCAGGTATAAGCCATCAGTATGCTATGTAACATTGTAATAGCAAGTGACTGAATAAGATTTTTAATGTTCTTTTTAATCACATAAAAGTGTTTCCTGTATCTCCAATTTTGCAATATAAACTTGTAGGTCTGAGAATCTTAAACAGCATATAACTGTCAGGTATCTGATGAAGTTTGTGTTATTGTTTGAAACTTACATTGCCATTTGTGGTGAGTACAGTCGCTGGAAACCTTTTCAAATCTTTATATGATCAAATATAAGGAAGAAATCAATCTATTGTGGTTTAAAGCATATCACAAATTGAACTATTAGTTCAAAACTTCAGTAATCAGATTTGCATCACTTTGTGGCTTTCATTGAGGTTTATTTGTCTGATATTTCTTCGAACAATTTCTTACATGTTCAAACTTGCAAATAACATGATGGTTTACATTTTGCTTGAGTACAGCATCTTGCTGCGTACACTCCTGATAAGATTTGTTGATGCATGTTTAGGTGTTAATTTTTCACTCTGAAGTTGCTTCAAGTGCAAGCTGAATCATTCTGCCAAGGGCAACAGGGCCTCTGGCACCTCTGGCAGAAATAATTTACACTTGCAATGGAATTCATGAATTGAGCAACAAAACAAAACAAGGTAAAAAGTAGAGGGTAAGAGGGTAAGATAGAGTGAATGATTGAAAGTCAAATTAGGCAACATAGTTAATGAATTACTGTCACTGGTACCACTGTTAATCTAAAGGGTACGCTTTGCAAAACCTCAAATCAGCTCAATGGCAAAGAAAAATCTTCACAGTCATGATTATGATTCTGTAACTAAAACGATAAAATAGTCATAACTCAAGTATCGTAGCAAGCAGGTTCTCACAATATTGTTAACATTCTGAAACCAGCTTTAAAATCTGCTGAAAGCCTTGAGAAAGAGCCTGAGTCACGAGAACAATGGGTGACAGGCCAGCCATTTTTCTACATTACAAACATGACTCAGATCATTCTTTTGAGTTGCATGATGAGATATTTTACTTCTTTGACCTCCATTATAATTCTGTAATGAGATTGTTCGACATAGCTGCATGCCTGTGGTTACTGGACAACAAGTATAAAACTCTAATAAGGTAGCTGAAAATTCCAGCCATTGTATAATTTCTTGAGCTTCAAAGAAGAACTGTTCTCATCAGCTGATGTTACAAAGAGTAACAGCCACAGATTCAATGTTTTGAGCATGAGATGCAGGGAATGTGAGGAAGAGCTTTTTTAAACAGTCTGTGATAATGACTTGGAATTTGCGCTTATGAAGGTGGTGGAAGCAGGGGTGATGAATGATTTCCAAAGGAAATTGGATGGGCACTTGAAATGAATAATCTTACAGGGCAATTGGGTTAGAACAAGGAACAGAACTAATTGGATTGCTCACAGACAGCTGGTTTGATGGACTGACTGACCTAGATTTTCTTGATGGTAGTGATCATGAGTTTCAAAGAAGCTGTTTAAGGAACCTTAGTAAGTTTCTGCAGCACATCTTGTAGATGGTACACACTATTGCCACTGAGCATAAGTGGTGGGCTAAGTGATAGCTCATGAATGTAATGCCGTTCAAATGGGCTGCTTTGCTCTGGACGGTGTCAAGCTTCTTGACTATTGTAAGAGCTGTACCCATCTAGGCAAATGGGGAATATTCCATTACACTCCTGACTTGTGCTTGTAGTTGGTGGACAAGCTTTGGGAAGTCAGGTGGTGAGTTACTCCTTAGAGGATTTGTAACCTCGATCTTGCTCTTGTAGCTATAGTATTTATATTGCACTTGTGTGGTGCCAATGTCACTTACCAGTTAAACACAAACATGCATATTTCTTCAAAAATGATACACTTTTCTAATTTACAGCAATTTAAAAACTCTAATCACAGTTTCTTACCAAGCAGTGAGCATGCAGTTTTACTTTAATTCAACTTTTTTTCATTCTTATGATCCTAGCACTGGCTAATCACAAGCAGATGAATGGTGTGCCTCTTGGACTCCTCGCTAAGTGATATAGAATCGAACCTTGGTCGCGATTTATATTCTCCCACTTCATTGCCTCTCAGACTCACAGTAAAATGATGCAGGTCTTGAGCCTAGTCCAACACAGAAGGGTAAAACAGCATAAATTGTGAATGACACATACTGCTCACCTCTTCTTGCATAGTTTGAAATGAAGCCCAGTACATTTATTTCCAAAAATTACTAGTTTTCTTCTGCTTTTTGTACTGGTTCCAAGAATTACTGGTTTTGTACTGGTTTTTCCCTCTGGGTGTTTTATTCGCTCCTTATGTCAGCTGCTTCAGCTAAGGCCTGAGGTCTCTCTGACTCACAGAAAGTGATTAGCTTAGTCAGGAGTGTGGTGCAATACTCTCCTCTTGTCTGGATGCGTGCAGCTCCAAAAGCATTCAAGAAGCTTAATGCTATTCAGAATGAAATGGCCCACTTGCTTGACACCTCATCCAGAATCTTCATAATTCATTAAATTCACACTAGTTACAGTCACTCAACAAGGCTTCTCTGACAGTACCTTCTAAACCCCTGACCTATACCACCTTAAAGGAGAAGGGCAGCAGATGCATGGGAATTCCACCCCAAAGATTTCCTCCAAGCCACAAACCTGACTTGGACATATATCACCATTACTTCAATGTTGCGAGATCAAAAACATGGAACTCTATTCTTATCAACAATCTGGGTGTACCTACTCCCTAAGAACTGCAGTAATTCAAGAAGGCAGCTCATCACCAAGTACTCCAAGGCATTAGGGATGGGCAATAAATCCTGATGCAGCAGCCACATCCCATGAATGAATTTTTAAGAAAATGTGGTAGAGAAATGCAGGCTGCAGGGAATTTGGCACGGTTCTAACTAAAATAATCTGACAAACAGAAGGCTTGTAATCCAGTTGGTGTCATTTACATCTGGTAAGGAACAGTCAGAATCTAAAAGACAGAACCATGTAATTGTGGGCTTTTAGGTGGTCCTCTGACCAAAGTCTGCTGAAATGAATGAATTACAATGGCTGGATAAGAAGTACGAGTTTGAGCTTTCATACTATTTCAGGCTTTTATAGCTGTGGATTGAAATGAGTTATAATCATTGTAGCTAAAGTAATTTGTGGCTGCCAAGGTGCCAATCCTAGGCAGAATCAGTCCTGTTGATTTACAATAGACATCTTTGGCATTCTGAAGAGGCCTTGTCCACTAGGTGGTTAAATTGCTGGTTTACATTTACCCAAGCACATTCAAGTTGTGTAAAGCAACAGAAAACCTTTTGAAATTTTTATTTCATACAAAGCTGGTCACCTCCACTGCCAGAGAAAGTGTGAATAGTTATCAATGTTCTCAGTCCACTTATAACCTTAGGATAGAGTTACGGGTAAAATAGCTAAACATGGATAGGCCAAGACAATTGAAGTTGGGGATCTCCTGTGGTGATGTCCTCGAGCATCATATGGTCATCTTACTTTCTGATGCTTCCGCTAGAGTGTTTTATCCTTGATCCTCATTGATATCACTAGAGATACTTGATATTACAGTTGACTGAAGGGTGCCTCTGTTCAAGTGCAATCACTCTCTAAAGTTTAGACAAGAAAAGGTAAGATTTATTTGTTTCACAAAGATAATAATAACTAGGTTGAACATGGAAGTGAAGGAAATTATACATTTCATGAAAGTAATTTTGGGAGACAGACCTAATGAAAACATTGAAAACGCAAGCAGGTATGGAAATTTCTAACCTTTAGTACTGGCTTTATGGAAAACAAGTGTTCTTTCAAATCTTATAGTTCAATTCATGAAGATGATTGAGACAAACTGGTGTGAACATAAGAACATAAGAAATAGAATAGGCCATTCATCCCCTCTGTCATTCAACAATGCCATGCCTGTTCCAGGTCACAACTCCAGCTCAAGGTCATTAAATTCCTGAATTTTCACAAGTGTGCCAACCTCTCCTTTAAACACTTTCAATGATTTAATCTTCACAACTCTCTGGGGTAGAGAATTCCAAACAGTCATTGTATCATGCCCAAGAACACTCAGATTTGTCTGTGCTGTACTTTTTTGGAGCATCTCTTCATTTAGTAATAGTTTGTCTTCTGATTCTTCTGGATAAAGTGCATGACCTCATACTTTCCTGCATAAAATTCCATTGGCCAAGTTTTTGCCACCCGCTCAACTTAACTGCATCTCCTTTCAGATTCTTCTATCCACAGCGCAACATGACCTCCCGCAGTGTTCTGAGGAAGAGTCACCTGCCCTGAAATGTTAACTCTGATTTCTCTTCACAGTTGCTGCCACACCTGTTGAGCTTTTCCAGCAACTTCTGTTTTTGTTTATGACCTGCCACCTATTTTTGTATTGTCACCTCACTTTTCCCCCTCTTCCAAGTCATAATGTGAGGTGCCGGTATTGGACTGGGGTGCACAAAGTCCGAAGTCACATGACACCAGGTTACAGTCCAACAGGTTTATTTAAAATCACGAGCTTTCAGAGTGCTGCTGCTTCATCAGGTGAAGGAGCAGTGCTATGAGAGCTTGTGATTTCAAATAAACCTGTTGGATTAAAACCTAGTGTCGTGTGACTTCTTCCAAGTCATTGATATAGATAGTAAATAATTAAGGCCCTAAGATTGATCCTTGTGTCCCTCCACTAGTTACATAATTCTGACGTAAAAAAGACCCACTAATCCCAACTGTCTGTTTTCTGTGTGTTGACAATTCTAAATTCATGGTAATACATTATCTGCAATACAGTGAGCTCCTGTCTTTTGCAATAACTTTTTATGTGGCACTCTATTAACTCACTTGGGAAATACTCTACATTTACCAGTGACAAAAACAAAGAACCTGGAAAGGCTCAGCAGGTCTGGCAGCATCTGTGGAGGAGAAAACAGAGTTAACATTTCATGTCTGGTGACCCTTCCTCAGTTCTGAGGAAGGGTCACCGGACCCGAAACGTTAACTCTGTTTTCTCCTCCACAGATGCTGCCAAACCTGCTGAGCTTTTCCAGCAACTTTGTTTTTGCTCCTGATTTACAGCATCCACAGTTCTTTTGGTTTTTATACCACATTTACCAGTGCCCTTTTATCAAATCTACATGTTATATTCTTAGCAGCATCCATGATCAGTCCAGGTCACATATCCACTTGGGTGGTGTGGGTCAGAGGGTCCATCTCTCTACAGTCCAGGA